ATAAACATCTATACCAAAAAAAAGGTCTTTTCCTATATCATCCCTTTAAATGAAACATAAAAAACGTTCACTACAATAATCTCAGACTACTTTCATAGAAAAACTTCAGAATACATAAAGCACATATTTCAGCTTTCAAAGATGCCATTTAGATTGCACATATTAAACAGTGACAGCATGGTTTACAACGGCACAGATATGCTGAACACATGAACACTATTATGTCATCCCTGGTTAACAGAAAGAACTGCATGGTCTGAAAGGTGCTTGAACTTATGTGTAGTCATTAAAACTCAGTAAGTAATTCAAGTATGGTCATATAAAGGCAGGCAATCCAATATCACTATAAAAATCAAGGCCATGAAAATACAGGCAGAAAACTTGGTTTCTCTACCTTTCATTTACATAGGTAGATATCAGGACCTTACTGTAGAAAATATACAATTCTTACATATGGTTTCCCTAGAAACCATGGAGTTTCAGAAACTACAAAAGACGTCAAGATCCACAGTTTGCTTCATCAAATGCTTTTCTAGCCCATTTCAACTCTTCATTCATAGTAAACAAGTCTTTAACCCTAGCAAACTCCCCAGAGCCCTTCTGAACCAAGATGATATCTTCAACTTGTACTTGAACTTGTCTGCCAATAGACATTGTGAGTCATTGTCTCTTGTTCATTGTCAACTTGTACTTGAACTTGTCTGCCAATAGACATTGTGAGTTATTTCAATAATGAACTCTATCACAGTAGATATTCTTCAAGAGATCTACTGATGTAGTATAAGGATTCTTTTCATCTCCAAAGCCATACATCATACCTCTCAATTCTTCAGAAAAAAAGTCTCTGTCTTTTACCCTGTCCACCTTCTGAACTTCCTCAAATTTCTGCATTTTCTTCCTCAAAAGCTGGGCCTTCCTCCTCGTCTGCCACCCCACCAGCCCGCCAGCCTACAGCACCCAGCTGACTCCCACCCAGCAGGTTTCACTACTTGCACAGCCTCACTTATGGTGACTTCCACATTAAAGTGAGTTTTGATTTTATTTTATTTTATTTTTTAACTCAAATAGTTAACAGTTTTATTTTCACATTTCACAATACAAATGAAAACTGCCCCTTTTTTGAGTTTACTTCTTTCCTTCAAAACTATTCTTTCTTTGATAGGAACGAGGAACAAGTCTTCCTTACCATGCTATTAAGAAAACACCCAGAGTGACAGCACCACAATCTCCTGGTGAAACAGAACAAGTAATATGAAACTGACATAAAGAAAACTCCCCTCTACCCTTATCTGTCTGGTCAAGTCATTCCAGGATGGTGGGTACCAACAAGGAGGTCTCATCATTGGGGGCCCAGGCGTCATTGGCATGTGACCTCCCATGGGTGGCCTCATTCCAGGAGCCGGTCCCGCTGGCATCATACCAGGATGAGAAGGACCCAGAAGATTGAGGGGAGGTGGAATCATGGCCTCTGCAGGAGAAGGAGCAGAAAATAGAGTAGGAGGTACTTTTCCTTGTGGAAATGCAGCCGTTGTTGTGTCAGTCAGGCTCTGGGCCCCTCTTCCATCCATTTCTGATCATAGTCCCTCACATTCTCTTTGTGCTTCCTCCCACTGCAGTGTGTCTTTCTCACAGATGGAGAGTCATGGGTGAGATATGTATCGCAGTAGTCACAGTAAAACTTGGGCATATTCCCTCCTGGCCGTTGGTGACTCCTTTCTAATGTGAGTTTTTAAAAACAAGCCTCCATACCAGTGTGGGAGGAAAAAACAGTAGAGCAGGAGAAGGAAGTCTGCTCTACCGGTAATAAAGCTCCAAGTTGATCCCACCATGGGTTTCATAGTGCCCTAGAGACACATGGTCCTTAAAAATCGTATACCACTTCTTAAGGACAATCTTGTTCCAACAGGTGCCAGTTTGGGCTGCAATCAGCTTCTTAAGGTCCCCAGTGGTGTCTTTGGTGTTGCATTTAATGCGGACCTTCTTCCCCAGATAGCCGTTGCAAACAACCTTGATCATCCCGGCTCGAGCTCCAGACTCAAACTTCCAACCTGCAGATGGCACAACCTCCAGCCTCAAGCACTCTGATGGAGGAGATTTTAAAAACCATGAGAGATTCTTTCGCAATCTCCATGCATTTGAAAACCACTGGAAGGCACGTCCAATCTCTACTTCAGCCTTTCAGAGCAACACCAAGAATAATCTTTTTAACAAACAGTAATGGAACAACTGAATAACCACATGCCAAGAAATAAACCTTAATCTATAACTTACCCATAAATAAAAATTCATCCGAAATGTACCATACAGTTAAATGTGAAATCTAAAACTTCTAAAATTAAACACAGAAGAAAATATTTGTGACCTCGGCAAAGGTATTTTAGATATGATATCTAAGCACAATACATCAAAAAATTGAAGTGGACTTCATCAAGATTTAAAATTTCTGCTTTGCAAAGACGCTATTAAGTGAACGAAAAGAAAAGCCACAGACTGGGAAAAAATACTGGCAAAACACATGTCTGATAAAGGATATGTATCTTAAATACATGAAGAATTATCAAAATTCACTAGTAAGTAAACAAACAACCCAATTTTGAAAACAGGCAAATGATTCAAACAGACATTTCACCAGAGAAGATACACAGGTAACAAACAAGTGTGTGAAAAGATGTTCTACATACTGTGTTTCCCCAAAAATAAGACACTGTCTTATATTTATTTTTTCTCAAGAAGATATACTAGGGCTTATTTTCAGGGGATGTCTTATTTTTATTAAGTATAATACAACAATCTACATTTGTCAAATACAGTTAAGTCATCTTCTTTTGGAACCTGACAGGGGGAGCCGACTTTGTTGGTGGGGCTGGCGCTAGGGATGCGTAAACTCCTTTCCCCTAGTCATTCCCACGTGCGCAATAGAATGCCTGTGACCAACAGCTCGGAGAAAGGAGCTGTGGCACATAAAAGGTATTCCAGTCTTCCATACTGCTCAGCATGGCGTGGCTATGCAGATATGCTGTATAGCCAAGCTCATCACTAGGTCTTAATATCGGAGTAGGGCTTATATTTAACAAATGCATAGAAATCCTGTTAGGGCTTATTTTTTGGGTGGGTCTTATTTTCGGGAAAACACAGTAGTACGTCATTAGGAAAATGCAAAATTGATGCCCTAGGGAGAAATGGGCACATTTCCACAGGGAGAAGAACACAGAGAAGCCAGGCTGATGGGGACACAGAGCAAAGAGAACCCGCACACTCTGCTGGTGGGAACTCCAAATACGGTGCAGCCGGGCTTTGCTTATTAACATTAACATATGACCAGCATCCTACTCCTAGTTATTTACCCAACTAGGAGCAAACTTCTATTTCCCCATAAAAAAAAAAAATAAGATGGTGCCTAGTTAAATGTGAATGAAACAAAATGACAAGAGGCTTCATTAGGGCACGAATTTTGCAATCAAAAATTGTATTTGGCAAATTTTAAATGTGGAAGGAAAAGACCTAAGATCCTACCCCATCCACAAAAGCTCATGCTCACAGAGTAAAACCCTCATGCAAGTGTTTGCAGTGACTTATTCATAATCAGCAAAAACTGGAAACAACCCAATGTTCTTCTGCTGGTGAAAGGATAATCAGCCAGGTGTATCCTTACGATGGACACCTACGCATCGATAAAAGTGATGACCACACAGCAAAATGGGCGAATCTCAGCTGCATTACACCGAGGGAAAGAAGCCAGCCCGACTCACAGGGCTACACTCCGTATGATTCCATTTATATGACATCTCGGAAAAGGAAGAACGCTAGGGACAGAAAACAGATCAGCAGTTACTAGGAAGCAGGAGGTAGGCGGGGCTGACTTAGAGAACACAGGGGAATTCTGTGGATAATGGAATTATTCTATCTTTTGGTTGTGGTGATAGATATGTGACTGTATAAATTGTTAAAACTCACAGCACAGGAAACTTAAATAAAAAAGGATGAATTTGTTTCTGTGAAAATTATACCTCAACCGTTTTTAAGTGTATGACTTTCATATTCTACCATTAATGCTTTAAAACATTAGGTTATAACATTTCAACAAAGTATTTTTATATATTACCATTATCAGCCTACACAGAAGATATTTCTACTTTCTTCAAAAGACTACCGGTTTTTCTGAACAAAGGATTGGAAGCCAGGAGAAAAATACTATCAAGCCCACTTTGAAACTTTCTCCTGCGGTGGGTAAAAAATTGCCTGTAAATTGCAAATCACTGTCCTTCATCATGTCTCTTCACATACAAGCCAAGCAGTAAAATCCTCTTTCTTGTTTTAATTCCTGCAATAGTTCATTTGCTCCTGGGAAAGAATTCATCACAATCGATCTGAATTATTTTCATGTTTTCTAGAAGTTTTCATGATGTGACCAATAGTCATATGAATAATTTGAAATACTTGTTTATTCGCATCAGTCTAAATGGGTTCTCTACGCAAGTAATACTTTGCACCTGGAAAAAAAAAATACAGAACTGTCTGTTTTAATGGAAACTCTCCTTACATAGGATCAAAATTCATGTCTTAAATGGCATGGTATAGAACTACCCCAAAGAAGTAATCACCAAATAACTGAAGATATAAAATAGCTACGTGATCCAAGCCACAAAGCTGAATAAAATGTACATCTATCAGACACTTATCTCATCTCAAGAACTGCTGAGCACTTAAGCTTTTCTTCTTCTTTTTGCCTAAGTACTAAGTGGGTGGAAATGTTTTCTCTTCATTTACTGGAAACAAAAGTGGTGCCGCATCAGCAAATAGGCTATAAAATAAAGCATAAAAAAAAATAAATAAATAAGATGGTGCCTAGTTAAATGTGAATGAAACAAAATGACAAGAGGCTTCATTAGGGCATGAATTTTGCAATCAAAAATTGTATTTGGCAAATTTTAAATGTGGAAGGAAAAGACCTAAGATCCCATCAAAGACAGAAAGAGCACACAGCACGTACCAGGACCCAAAGGGCCCAAGATGCAAGACAGGACAGTTAGAAAAAAGATGAAGTTGGAAGTTGGAGGGAGGAGAAGTCAGCTCAGCCAACCATTGAAGGGGGAAAAAACATTAAGTGGGAAAGAATTCCCAAATTATAAGTGAATAAAAGAATGCAACCCCATCACTAGAGAAGAAAAAGAAAAAGAAAGAAAAATTAGTTGGGCGTCATGGAAGGCGCCTGTAGTCCCAGCTATGTGGGAGGCCGAGGCAGGACGACTGCTTGAGCCCAGGAGTTTGAGGTTGCTGTGAGCTACAATGATGCGGCGATCTGTCAAAAGGAAAAGGATGAAGAGAGGAAGGGGGCGGGGGGAAGAGAGAGAGGAAAGGAGAGAGAGAGGGAAGCAGGTGGGGAGGGAGGCAGGTGGGCAAGAACATGAAGAATCAGAAGATCCAAAGCCAAGAAAATGTCTAACAAAAGAATAAGCCGAAGCCTTTGGGCTCATTCACGCAGGATTTGCTAAGCTTGAGGAGCAAGGTCCTCACATCGAGCGGATTACAAAGGTTTATGGTGCAGCTACTGAGAACATCAGGGGCTACAAGGCCGTTTATGACGAAAGAAGAAGAAAACGACTGTGAGAACCACCCCAGATACCTTTCCAAGAGCCCGACTTCAATGGTGAGCTCCCCTTTCCAAGACCGAATCAACTCCTGATTCTTCATCACTACCCCCAGCACCCTCTCCATCATCTGCTCCCAACTGTCAGCAAACTTCTCACCTCAAAAATGTCTCTCCAGTAAGCAGGACATCAATGTAACATTCGGTGAGTGTTAACCTTTAATATTATTTTTTGAACTTTCTCCTATTTCCCATCTAAACTTTTTATGTGAGTTTTTTATTTTTTATGTGTTTGAATTCAAAGACAGAGTACAATAGTTTCTACAACTTATTATTACAGTATTACACTGTATTGGTATGACCACATACCACCCAGTATAGTATTGCTGTTGTTATATTACCATCATATATGCACCGTTCATTAGGGTTCTGAGTTACATACAACCCGGACTCAAAATGTTCTCAAGAACATATCTTGTCAGTAACCCAGGGACTACCTGCATTTTCAAAAGTTGCTTATTTTCTAACTGGTTGATACATTCACACTAACCTACCTTCAGTGACGTGGACACAGTAGGCACGTGGTAATTCAATGCTACTCCGGAGATACCATTTCATCTACCTATTTCTATGTAAGTAGAAGAATCCTGAAAACATTTGTTGCTTTTTATCTCAGGCTTATGCTTCTAACTCAAAGACCACCCTATGCCTACCCAAAAAGAGTCATTCTGATTCAAAGAAGCATAGAACCCAAGGTTTGAGTCATTCACATGCTGCTAATATGAGCTGAGTAGATGGGACAAATCACTTAGCAGGAGAGTCTTCTCCACACCCCGGCCAGGTCACAGAACAGATGGAAACACACAGGTTTTACTCTCAGGTACACCTGCATTCAAATCCCAGCTCCACTACTTCCTGAGCAGTGCATAAGCCTTGGAAAATGCACGACTCTCTAACTCCCTCAGTTTTCCCCAATGAGAAATAGCGTATCTACACTGGAGAGTTCACGTGAGAATTAAAAACAATGTATGAAAGACTGCAGGCAACATGATAGACAGTCAGGACACCAGAGCTAGCCTGACCATCAGAGTTTCTGGACTGTGAATTTCCATTCATAAAATCGACATTTGCAGGTTCAAAAAACCTTAGGGTGTCAGCCTGCCTTTCTGAGTGTTGATGGATATGCCAGTGAGGTAGGGTGAGCTGGGGCAAGGGCCAAGTGGTAGCAAGGGGCCTGAAATTTCTCCATTACAAATTCATATCTTCCAGACCCACTAAAGTCAAATTTAAGGAGACCCTTAACAAAAATGCAAACGCTCTTCAAAAAAACCAGCAATATGCAATCTAACAGCTAAATCCAAGATTAGCAGACATGTGAAAAGGCCATGTGATAAAATGATAAAGGTTAAGAGCCTGGGACAAAGTGTAG